CCTGACGTGGTTCTGTTTCCTGACGGTTCGGTTCTGTCTCCTGACGGTTCAGTTCTGTCTGCTGACGCGGTTCGGTTCTGTCTCCTGACGTGGTTCGGTTCTGTCTCCTGACGTTGTTCGGTTCTGTCTCCTGATGGTTCTGTCTCCTGATGGTTCTGTCTCCTGATGGTTCTGTCTCCTGATGGTTCTGTCTCCTGATGGTTCTGTCTCCTGACGTGGTTCTGTCTCCTGACGTTGTTCGGTTCTGCCTCCTGACGTGGTTCTGTCTCCTGACGCGGTTCTGTCTCCTGACGCGGTTCTGTCTCCTGACGCGGTTCTGTCTCCTGACGTGGTTCTGTCTCCTGACGCGGTTCTGTCTCCTGACACGGTTCTGTCTCCTGACACGGTTCTGTCTCCTGACGCGGTTCTGTCTCCTGACGCGATTCTGTCTCCTGACGCGGTTCTGTCTCCTGACGTGGTTCTGTTTCCTGACGGTTCGGTTCTGTCTCCTGACGTGGTTCAGTTCTGTCTGCTGACGTGGTTCAGTTCTGTCTCCTGACGTGGTTCGGTTCTGTCTCCTGACGTTGTTCGGTTCTGTCTCCTGATGGTTCTGTCTCCTGACGCGGTTCTGTCTCCTGACGCGGTTCTGTCTCCTGACGTGGTTCTGTTTCCTGACGGTTCGGTTCTGTCTCCTGATGGTTCTGTCTCCTGACGGTTCTGTCTCCTGACGTGGTTCTGTCTCCTGACGTGGTTCTGTCTCCTGACGTGGTTCTGTCTCCTGACGGTTCTGTCTCCTGATGGTTCTGTCTCCTGACGGTTCTGTCTGCAGGGTGGTGTTTGGACCGGAGATGGTCATGCTGGGACCTGATGAGCAGTTCACGGTTCTGTCTCTGTCCGGGGACAAACCCAAGAAGGGCAACGTGATCAAAGCCATCTGTCTCCTGCTGGGTCCGGACTTCTTCACTGACATCATCACCATCGAGACGGCGGACCACGCCCGCCTGCAGCTGCAGCTGGCCTACAACTGGTACCTGTCCTCAGGGGGACACGGGGGACAGGTGTGTCTGTGACAGCTCCTTCATGCCTGACTCCTCCCCCTCTCTCAGGCACTTTGACGTGAAGTCCCCGACCGACCCGACGGACGCGGCGGCTCTGTTCTCGGTTCCGGACTTCGTGGGGGACGCCTGTAAGGCCATCGCCTCRCGGATCCGAGGCGCCGTGGCCTCGGTCCAGTTCGATGACTTCCATAAGGTCCGTTTTTACAACCAGAACTTTATTGTCCGTGTCCAAACCTGACGGAGACGCCATCTTTGATTCTGTGTCCAGAACTCGAACCGGATCATCTGCTCAGCCGTGTTTGGCTTCGATGAGAAGCTGGCGGTCCGGCCCAGTCTGCGGTTCAGTCAGAACAACCTGGTGATCAGCAGCGTGGACATCCAGTCTGTGGAGCCCGTGGACCAGAGGACCAGAGACGCCCTGCAGAAGAGCGTCCAGCTCGCCATCGAGATCACCACCAACTCCCAGGAGGCGGCGGCCCGGTCTGAAACAGTCAGAACCTGCCCGGGTCCAGGCGGGCCGCAGACTCATGAGGTTCTGTTTGTCCCGCAGACACGAGGCGGAGCGTCTGGAGCAGGAGGCCCGGGGCAAACTGGAGAGGCAGCGCATCACGGACCAGGCCGAGGCCGAGCGGGCCCGCAAGGAGCTGCTGGAGCTGGAGGCGCTCAGGTGGGTCCATCAGAACCAGAACCAGATATGTAAAAGGACCCAGATAAACCCAAAAGTCCTGATCCAGGTCTTCAGATCCGGTTTGAACGTCTCAGTTTAATCCAATCAGAGCAGAGATTTCCTTTATCCTCAGGGTCTCCTGACCCGGTCTGCAGTTCTGTAGAACCCGGGTGTCAGTCCGGTTCTGTAAAAATACGTCCTGTGTTTCAGCGCCTCGGTGGAAAGTACTGGAGCTGCCAAAGCTGAGGCCCAGTCCCAGGCTGAAGCGGCCCGGATCCGTGGAGAGGCGGCAGTCAATGAGGCCAAACTGAAGGCTGAGGCCCAGAGGATCGAGGCGGTACGGTCCACTTCCTGTTTGAGACGGTCCGCTTCCTGTTTGAGACGGTCCGCTTCCTGTTTGAGACGGTCTATTTCCTGTTTGAGTGTTTGTGGTGGTCCACTTCCTGTATGAGTGTTTGTGGTGGTCCACTTCCTGTTTGAGATGGTCCACTTCCTGTTTGAGACAGTCTATTTCCTGTATGAGTGTTTGTGGTGGTCCACTTCCTGTATGAGTGTTTGTGTTAGTCCACTTCCTGTTTGTGTTAGTCCACTTCCTGTTTGTGGTGGTCCACTTCCTGTTTGAGACGGTCCACTTCCTGTTTGAGACGGTCCACTTCCTGTTTGAATGTTTATGGTGGTCTATTTCCTGTTTGAGACGGTCTATTTCCTGTATGAGTGTTTGAGACGGTCCACTTCCTGTTTGAGACGGTCTACTTCCTGTATGAGTGTTTGAGACGGTCCACTTCCTGTTTGAGACGGTCTACTTCCTGTAGAGACGTTGCTCAGATAACTCTGGAACAAACTGTTTGTTTGYGTGTTTTTGTGTGCGTGCGGCTGCAGGAGGCGGAGCTTCAGCGGCTGGCGAAGGCCCGGGAGCAGGAGCTGAGTTATAAGAAGGAGATGGACCAGCTGGAGGTGCAGAAAAAGGAGCGTCTGGCTCAGATCGAGTCTCAGTGCTTCAAGCAGCAGATGGAGAGTCTCGGAACAGAAACGCTGAAGGAGATTGCCCGAGCCGGACCAGAACTTCAGGTATGGGTCAGAACCCAGTCCCTCGTCAGAACTGATGAGAAGTTCTTGCAGTGAGACCCGGTTCTGTCTGTCCTCCAGGTGAAGATGCTCCAGGCTCTGGGTATGAAGTCCACCCTCATCACCGACGGCTCGTCTCCCATCAACCTCTTCACCACCGCCAACGGCCTGCTGGGGGCGCTGCCGGGTCAGAACCAGTGAGCAGCAGGACCCGGTCTGCAGCAGGTCCGTTTCTCTACAGAGACACACCAGGTYGTGGTTCTGATTCTGAACCTGTGCTTCCTGTTTCACAGAAAAACTGAATCTGACAAAGAAACTAACTTCATCTCTGCTGCTTTACCCGAGTCCTGACGGGTCCCCCAGAGTCCTGACGGGTCCCCCAGAGTCCTGACGGGTCCCCCAGAGTCCTGACGGGTCCCCCAGAGTCCTGAGGGGTTCTGACGGGTCCTGTGTCTGTTTGAAAAATAAATCCAGTTTCACAGCAACAGTTTTTCTTCTTTCAGTTCTGATCCTAAAAGAACAAAAATCTAAAAGATTTATTTTAAACCAGAAACAAAGAGACTCAAACAGGAAGTGTTTCCTTTAAACCATGACCATATTTGGTCTTCCTGCATTCAGCTCAGAACTTCTTCACCCCTCCTCTTCCTCTTCCTCACTCCTCGGCTGTTTCTCTTAATAATTTACAAAAATCTAAAATTTAAATGAGTCTCACCGAGTCAGAACCAGAACTCTCTGCCCCTCCCCCTCACTCCCTTACCAACAGTTGCCGTGACAACCGCCTCCTCTCCCTGGAGACGGGTCGTGAGTCCAGAAGCAGAACCTTCGTGTTTTGATTTCTTCATGTCGACTCGATTCAAGACTTACAAAAAAAAACAGTTGGTTTCCATGGTTACTGCTGGTTCTGGACGGGTTTGGACAGATCTGGACTTGGTCTAGATGGGTCTGGACTGGTTCTGATGGTCAGTTTGAAGAAGAGAAACCAGGATCAGAACCAGGGTTTATTTCGGGTCAAACTTCTGTCATCTGAGGATCAGGAACCACTAAAACCTGAGACCGGTTCTGTTTGGTTCTGGTGGTTCTGGTGCTGTCTAAACGGGTCGGAGGATTTATAAGAGCCAGTGAGTCGTCTTTAACTCATTTATTCCTCAGTGAAGAACAATAAAGATAACAAAGAATCTGGACCGGGTCGGTCYGTTTAAGGCATGCACAGGCACAAAGAGTCCATCTGGACCAGTGAGCGGTTCTGTTGGGTCATGCTGACAGCAGGAAGCACAAATACAGACTTTCAAAACAAGAGTCCAAAAAAAAAACGTTAAAATAAAATCTTTTTTTACACTTTGATCAGAATCAGAACATGAACCCTGCTCTGAGCCGGGCCGCTCCAGAACCTGGTTCTGTCTGTCCTGCTCTGAGCCGGGCCGCTCCAGAACCTGGTTCTGTCGGTCCTGGTCTGAGCCGGGCCACTCCAGAACCTGGTTCTGTCTGTCCTGGTCTGAGCCGGGCTGCTCCAGAACCTGGTTCTGTCGGTCCTGCTCTGAGCTGGGCCGCTCCAGAACCTGGTTCTGTCTGTCCTGGTCTGAGCCGGGCCGGTCCAGAACCTGGTTCTGTTTGTCCTGGTCTGGAGTCTACAGCTGAGGACCTGGATCAGAACAAAGTTCTGTGTTTTCATGCTAAAGATTGATTCCCAGAAAAGCGTCGAGTCGCTCCTCAAACCATGACTCAGCAGAATCTAACAGTCAGAGAAAATCAGCCGAAGACAAAAACACGAGCCGAAAACAAGCTTCAGATTAATATTTGCATAAAGACACATCACATGCTACGATCAGAACCAGGAGCGAGCATGGAACCATCTTCACCCAGATTATTACATAATCCAACCAGAATAATCTGAGACCCTTTGACCTAAAACCCTTTAATCTGAAATCTTTAAACTGAGACCCTTTGATCTAAATGCTTTAATCTGAACCTCTCAAACGGGTCAGATGGGTCAGTGAACCATCGCAGAAGAACCAGAAGCTTTGGGTCGGAGCTGCAGGCCAACCCGTTTGGACCCAGAAGTCCTGCCGGGCTTTTTGTTCCGTTCATAAATAAAAGTTAGGACTAGGGTTCAGTTACAGCTGTGGTGAGTTCACTGACCATCAGAACTTTGAGCATCAGTCTGAAAGAACCAGAACACTTTTCCTCCAGTGCTCCTCAGAAACAAACTTTAGTTTTTTATGTCTGAAGGGAGAAGATCTGATTGGCTGAGGGTCACTTCCTGTTTAGGAAACGACCTGTTTGATGACAGACAAAAAGCAAAGTAGGACTTTTTGTTTCAAACAGTTCTTCTTCCTGCCTTCACAATAAAAGTCTTCAAACATTTGTTTTCCTGCCTTCACAATAAAAGTCTTCAAACATTTCTTCCTCCTGCCTTCACAATAAAAGTCTTCAAACATTTGTTTTCCTGCCTTCACAATAAAAGTCTTCAAACAGTTCTTCTTC